GACACTGGTAGAGGATGAAGAGGATGACACTGGTAGAGGATGAAGAGGATGACACTGGAAGAAGATGAAGAGGATGACACTGGAAGAGGATGAAGAGGATAACACTGGAAGAGGATGACACTGGTAGAGGATGAAGAGGATGACACTGGAAGAGGAGGAAGAGGATGACACTGGTAGAGGATGAAGAGGATGACACTGGAAGAGGATGAAGAGGATGGGAAGAGGATAACAATGGAAAGGATGGGAAGAGGATGACACTGAAAGAGGATAAAGAGGATGACACTGGAAGAGGATGAAGAGGATGACAATGGATGAGGATGAAGAGGATGGGAAGAGGATAACACTGGAAAAGGATGGGAAGAGGATGACACTGGAAGAGGATGAAGAGGATGGGAAGAGGATGACACTGGAAAGGATGGGAAGAGGATGACACTGGAAGAGGATGAAGAGGATGACACTGGAAGAGGATGAAGAGGATGACACTGGAAGAGGATGAAGAGGATGGGAAGAGGATAACACTGGAAAAGGATGAGAAGAGGATGACACTGGAAGAGGATGAAGAGGATGGGAAGAGGATAACACTGGAAAAGGATGGGAAGAGGATGACACTGGTAGAGGATGAAGAGGATGGGAAGAGGATGGGAAGAGGATAACACTGGAAAAGGATGGGAAGAGGATGACACTGAAAGAGGATGACACTGAAAGAGGATGAAGAGGATAACACTGGAAGAGGATGAAGAGGATGGGAAGAGGATAACACTGGAAAAGGATGGGAAGAGGATGACACTGGAAGAGGATTAAGAGGATGACACTGGAAGAGGATGAAGAGGATGGGAAGAGGATAACACTGGAAAAGGAATGGAAGAGAATGACACTGGAAGAGGATAAAGAGGATGGAAAGAGGATGGGAAGAGGATAACACTGGAAAAGGATGGGAAGAGGATGACACTGGAAGAGGATAAAGAGGATGGGAAGAGGATAACACTGGAAAAGGATGGGAAGAGGATGACACTGAAAGAGGATAACACTGGAAGAGGATTAAGAGGATGACACTGGAAGAGGATGAAGAGGACGGGAAGAGGATAACACTGGAAAAGGATGGGAAGAGAATGACACTGGAAGAGGATAAAGAGGATGGGAAGAGGATAACACTGGAAAAGGATGGGAAGAGGATGACACTGGAAGAGGATGAAGAGGGTGGGAAGAGGATGAAGAGGATGGGAAGAGGATAACACTGGAAAAGGATGGGAAGAGGATGACACTGAAAGAGGATGACACTGAAAGAGGATGAAAAGGATAACACTGGAAGAGGATGAAGAGGATGGGAAGAGGATAACACTGGAAAAGGATGGGAAGAGGATGACACTGGAAGAGGATTAAGAGGATGACACTGGAAGAGGATGAAGAGAATGACACTGGAAGAGGATGAAGAGGATGGGAAGAGGATAACACTGGAAAAGGATGGGAAGAGGATGGGAAGAGGATGAAGAGGATGGGAAGAGGATGACACTGGAAAAGGATGGGAAGAGGACGACACTGGAAGAGGATGAAGAGGATGGAAAGAGGATGAAGAGGATGGGAAGAGGATAACACTGGAAAAGGATGGGAAGAGGATGACACTGGAAGAGGATGAAGAGGATGGGAAGAGGATAACACTGGAAAAGGATGGGAAGAGGATGACATTGGAAGAGGATGAAGAGGATGGGAAGAGGATAACACTGGAAAAGGATGGGAAGAGGATGACACTGGAAGAGGATGAAGAGGATGGGAAGAGGATAACACTGGAAAAGGATGGGAAGAGGATGACATTGGAAGAGGATGAAGAGGATGACACTGGAAGAGGATGAAGAGGATGACAGTGGAAGAGGATGAAGAGGATAACACTGAAAGAGGATGAAGAGGATGACACTGAAAGAGGATGAAGAGGATGACACTGAAAGAGGATGAAAAGGATGACATTGGAAGAGGATGAAGAGGATAACACTGAAAGAGGATGAAGAGGATGACATTGGAAGAGGATGAAGAGGATGACACTGAAAGAGGATGAAGAGGATGACACTGAAAGATTATGAAAAGGATGACATTGGAAGAGGATGAAGAGGATAACACTGAAAGAGGATGAAGAGGATAACACTGAAAGAGGTTGAAGAGGATAACACTGGAAGAGGATGAAGAGGATAACACTGGAAGAGGATGAAGAGGATAACACTGGAAGAGGATGAAGAGGACAACACTGAAAGAGGATGAATAGGACAAAACTGGAAGAGGATGAAGAGGACAACACTGGAAGAGGATGAAGAGGATGAAACTGGAAGAGGATGAAGAGGACAACACTGGAAGAGGATGAAGAGGACAACACTGGAAGAGGATAAAGAGGATAACACTGGAAGAGGATGACACTGGAAGAGGATGAAGAGGATGACACTGGAAGAGGATAAAGAGGATAACACTGGAAGAGGATGAAGAGGATGACACTGGAAGAGGATGAAGAGGATGACACTGGAAGAGGATAAAGAGGATAACACTGGAAGAGGATGACAATGGTAGAGGATGAAGAGGATGACACTGGAAGAGGATGAAGAGGATGACACTGGAAGAGGATGAAGAGGATGACACTGGAAGAGGATAAAGAGGATAACACTGGAAGAGGATGACAATGGTAGAGGATGAAGAGGATAACACTGAAAGAGGATGAAGAGGATGACACTGGAAGAGGATGAAGAGGATGACACTGGAAGAGGATAAAGAGGATAACACTGGAAGAGGATGACAATGGTAGAGGATGAAGAGGATGACACTGGAAGAGGATGAAGAGGATGACACTGGTAGAGGATGACACTGGAAGAGGATGAAGAGGATGGGAAGAGGATAACACTGGAAAGGATGGGAAGAGGATGACACTGGAAGAGGATGAAGAGGATGACACTGGAAGAGGATGAAGAGGATGACACTGGAAGAGGATGAAGAGGATGACACTGGTAGAGGATGAAGAGGATGACACTGGTAGAGGATGAAGAGGATGACACTGGTAGAGGATGAAGAGGATGACACTGGAAGAGGATGACACTGGTAGAAGATGAAGAGGATGACACTGGAAGAAGATGAAGAGGATGACACTGGAAGAAGATGAAGAGGATGACACTGGTAGAGGATGAAGAGGATGACACTGGAAGAAGATGAAGAGGATGACACTGGAAGAAGATGAAGAGGATGACACTGGTAGAGGATGAAGAGGATGACACTGGAAGAAGATGAAGAGGATGACACTGGTAGAGGATGAAGAGGATGACACTGGTAGAGGATGAAGAGGATGACACTGGTAGAGGATGAAGAGGATGACACTGGAAGAGGATGATACTGGTAGAAGATGAAGAGGATGACACTGGAAGAAGATGAAGAGGATGACACTGGAAGAAGATGAAGAGGATGACACTGGAAGAGGATGAAGAGGATGACACTGGTAGAGGATGAAGAGGATGACACTGGTATAGGATGAAGAGGATGACACTGGAAGAAGATGAAGAGGATGACACTGGTAGAGGATGAAGAGGATGACACTGGTAGAGGATGAAGAGGATGACACTGGAAGAAGATGAAGAGGATGACACTGGAAGAGGATGAAGAGGATGACACTGGAAGAAGATGAAGAGGATGACACTGGTAGAGGATGAAGAGGATGACACTGGAAGAGGATGAAGAGGATGACACTGGTAGAGGATGAAGAGGATGACACTGGTAGAGGATGAAGAGGATGACACTGGAAGAAGATGAAGAGGATGACACTGGAAGAGGATGAAGAGGATGACACTGGAAGAGGATGAAGAGGATGACACTGGAAGAGGATGAAGAGGATGACCCTGTTAGAGGATGAAGAGGATGACACTGGTAGAGGATGAAGAGGATAACACTGGAAGAGGATGAAGAGGATAACACTGGAAGAGGATGAAGAGGATAACACTGGAAGAGGATGAAGAGGATGACACTGAAAGAGGATGAAGAGGATAACACTGGAAGAGGATGAAGAGGATGACACTGGAAGAGGATGACACTGGAAGAGGATGAAGAGGATGACACTGGAAGAGGATGAAGAGGATAACACTGGAAGAGGATGAAGAGGATGACACTGGTAGAGGATGAAGAGGATGACACTGGTAGAGGATGAAGAGGATAACACTGAAAGAGGATGAAGAGGATAACACTGAAAGAGGATGAAGAGGATAACACTGAAAGAGGATGAAGAGGATAACACTGGAAGAGGATGAAGAGGATAACACTGAAAGAGGATGAAGAGGATAACACTGAAAGAGGATGAAGAGGATAACACTGGAAGAGGATGAAGAGGATAACACTGAAAGAGGATGAAGAGGATAACACTGAAAGAGGATGAAGAGGATAACACTGAAAGAGGATGAAGAGGATAACACTGGAAGAGGATGAAGAGGATGACACTGAAAGAGGATGAAGAGGATAACACTGGAAGAGGATGAAGAGGATAACACTGAAAGAGGATGAAGAGGATAACACTGAAAGAGGATGAAGAGGATAACACTGAAAGAGGATGAAGAGGATGACACTGGAAGAGGATGAAGAGGATGACACTGAAAGAGGATGAAGAGGATGACACTGGTAGAGGATGAAGAGGATGACAATGGAAGAGGATAACACTGGAAGAGGATGAAGAGGATGACACTGAAAGAGGATGAAGAGGATAACACTGGAAGAGGATGAAGAGGATGACACTGAAAGAGGATGAAGAGGATAACACTGGAAGAGGATGAAGAGGATGACACTGAAAGAGGATGAAGAGGATAACACTGGAAGAGGATGAAGAGGATGACACTGAAAGAGGATGAAGAGGATAACACTGGAAGCGCCGATTGACAAATGACCACGGCCTTAAGTTAAAAATAAAAGGATACTTTGAGTAGAAAAGGCTTCCATCCACTGTCTGGGTTCAAGATATTATGGGATTTTAAAAGAGTGAGAGTAAATATTCTTACTCCGGCTGCTGATCTTTTTCAGTGGGACACCAGCCATTTATTTCACAAATGCCATCAGAATGCTCAGGAGTTTTCAAACAACGGCCAGTCTTAATTCCTAGGGAAAATGAAGCACTTTAGTAGGTTTTGACATATTTAAAAAAAAACGGAGGGCACATATTTATTTGTCAGCATAGCTTTAGTATCAAGCAGTTTAACGTTATACCATTTCCAGCCCTGACAGCCTCTTCTGCTATACAGTCTTCGTCCTTAGTGCAATTGGCATCGGGTAATAATTTCTAAAAGAAGATATATAGCCTCCTGTTAGCAATAAATAGATATAGACCTACTGAACATACTTATTTTGTGAGGAGCTTATTTTCCCAAAGGTCTAAAGCTACGTTCAGACTATCAGTCCAAATTAAATTTTTGTGCATATCCAATTGAAATCCGATCAGATTTAGCAAGTGTGAACGGCCAAAAATCACATGAAATGTGATTTGTTCAAATCCGTTTCGAGCTACATTCAAATGTGGTTTGAAATCCTATGGAAATTGCATTTATGGAAATCTGTTTCAGTCTGACTGATCTGATTGGATTCCACGTGGTAAATGTGACTTTCTCTCCATGTGAAATGTAGGCCTAAACGTCAGACGTTGTTATTGGAAACATGCTGAAATTCGCTGCAGAAACAAAGTTGTGTTGTTGCAAAGTGCCAGAGGAGCAGAAAATGACAATGTAACGAGACATATTTTGAAACTGGCGGAGACGAAAGTACAGAATTAAATCGCTTGTGTCGCTTCAACTCCACTCATAAATCCCCACCGGTGGCCTCAGATAAAGTGTCCATTAAATGCGCACTTTAGGTGTAGGCTACTGTTGGTGTACTGTTTTTCGCATGCTAGCCTATATAGTAGGGAAGAATTCGATTTTGGATGCAGTGACAGTGTGGACATCAATAATTTTAGATCAGATTACAATCGAATAAACAAATAATCGGATTTGGACTGACAGTGTAAACGTATAAGGTTGGGGATTTTCTGTGCCTCTTTCTGTAGATTTCACATTTACGCCAATGTGGCCACAAATAAGTGACTGGCTTTATTAGTGAGTCCGGATCAAGCGTTCAAATGAAACTCCCCATTACGTTATTCAAGGACCAAATTACCATCTTATCTCCGCATAAATGCACCGAATGAAATAAAAAATGTTACTGTTGCATCAAAAGCAGCTTGTTGTGGCATAAAGATGCTGAATAAAATTACTTCAGATGTCAAAAATAGACTGGTAAAAAATTACAGTCAGTTTGTGGGTTCAGTCAAACACACGCATGAATAACAACACAATTGCGGTGGAAAAGAGGGTTACTTGTCTCTGAACTCCTCGACAGACACAAATACATATACAGTAAGCCCAAATACGCAACTGTATTCTGGAAATAAAATTCCCTTTTGACCCAAAAATGCATGTGTAAATGGCACCTTAGATTGATAACACAAGAAATGGTGACATTGAAATTATTACCGCCAAACCAGCAAGACTATAAAATCAATAGTGTGGTTTAAAATGGGGAAGCAGCTAAAAAGCACTTTAGTGTTTTACTAACCATAATCGGCGTACATCAGTTGATAAAAAACAACCTAAGTGGTTTAACACTGTTAATGGCCTGAACGGAAAATGTAAATCTGAGGTAGCAAGGAGAGTTTGATAGCCATTTGTAATCAGCTACTGATGTTACTAATTAGCTTAACAGAGTAATAGGATTGCACTGAATAGCTACTGTACATCCACCTCTGAATAGCTAACAGCTATATGTCACTGTAAAAAATTAAAACAAAACCCGAATGTCTTTTAGGGAACAGCTGACGTGTTAAAAGTGTTGTTGAAAGTGCAGATGTGTCGAAGTCTGTTGCCCTTGGAAAGTTTCCCCTTAGGTTAGACAGTCCACGAAACAGGGGGAACAGACTTTGTGAGGAAAACTGACTGTTAAAATCAGTTTTACCTCTGAACAGTTGCCCATTTTTTGGTTTGCCGTCTCGATGAAATTGGTTATTATAAACAGAAAATCCTCACCCTGGAAACAAAATTAACCACAATATTAAAAGGCCTAAATCAAATTAATGAAGCAAATCGTAAATCATACAACGGACACAGAACTAATAAGAACTTTTTCAGACAGTGTGTTTTGACTGACCTGTTTTGGGTAAACATAGTCCTCTGGTCCCCATAATTTGAAATCTGTTGTGTTGACCCGTGCAACTCCTTTAACTTTAGTTAACACAGAACTCTCGACAGTATCATCTTTTGCCTGGTATTGTTTCTTTTCAATAAATACCCACCTGTTGAGCAAAAACATGTTTAAAATGTGCCTCTCAAAACAGTAAAAGCTCAAATAAGAGAGACAGAGAGAGACATTTTTTTTTTCTATTGCTTGCATCATCACATAAAATGTTTTTATTTTTACCCCAAGCAAAACTAAGGTTTTGTTAGGGTTAGACTACATTAAGTAATAATAACTCTTACCCAATGAGATATCCAATGACAGTGAGTTGAAAGATTCTGTATAAGAGTCCCACTTTCTTATTCTGCGTGGCCACATATTTGACTGTTCTATAATCAAAGACATACAGTAGATGTTGAATGTTCCACCGAGCCATTCCTGCTCCTGCTGTTGGAAAATGATGTGCTGCTCACACACGCCCTGCAAAAATCCCTTAAAATCAGTTTTACCTCTGAACAGTTGCCCATTTTTTGGTTTGCCGTCTCGATGAAATTGGTTATTATAAACAGAAAATCCTCACCCTGGAAACAAAATTAACCACAATATTAAAAGGCCTAAATCAAATTAATGAAGCAAATCGTAAATCATACAACGGACACAGAACTAATAAGAACTTTTTCAGACAGTGTGTTTTGACTGACCTGTTTTGGGTAAACATAGTCCTCTGGTCCCCATAATTTGAAATCTGTTGTGTTGACCCGTGCAACTCCTTTAACTTTAGTTAACACAGAACTCTCGACAGTATCATCTTTTGCCTGGTATTGTTTCTTTTCAATAAATACCCACCTGTTGAGCAAAAACATGTTTAAAATGTGCCTCTCAAAACAGTAAAAGCTCAAATAAGAGAGACAGAGAGAGACATTTTTTTTTTCTATTGCTTGCATCATCACATAAAATGTTTTTATTTTTACCCCAAGCAAAACTAAGGTTTTGTTAGGGTTAGACTACATTAAGTAATAATAACTCTTACCCAATGAGATATCCAATGACAGTGAGTTGAAAGATTCTGTATAAGAGTCCCACTTTCTTATTCTGCGTGGCCACATATTTGACTGTTCTATAATCAAAGACATACAGTAGATGTTGAATGTTCCACCGAGCCATTCCTGCTCCTGCTGTTGGAAAATGATGTGCTGCTCACACACGCCCTGCATCCTTAGAGCCACATTGTCATGTGCATCACGTCATTTTGCAATTTACATGTCATGTTCTCCATATTCTACTCCTACATTTATTTTCTTGTTTATTATGTAAATTCAAAAACCCATGTTCATTAGACTTATTAAACTTGCCTTGAAAAATCGCACCGCTTTAGCAGATTTAACGAAATCATTTATTTAAAATAGAAATTTGTTGTAGTGTATATTTGTAACAATATACACTACTATTCAAATGTTTGGGGTCAGTAGTTTTTTCCTTTTTTTTTCCTTGAAAGAAATTAATACTTTTATTCAGCAAGGATGTGTTAAATGGATGAAAAGTGATAGTAAAGATTTCTATTGTTAGAAAAGATTTGTATTTTGAATAAATTCCGTTCTTTTTAACTTTTTATTCATCAATGAATCATGAAAAAAGTATCACAGTTTCCAAAAAATAAAAAATAAAGCAGCACAACTGTTTCCAACATTGATTATAACTGAGTATCAAATCAGCATATAAGAATTATTTCTGAAGGATCACACTGAAGACTGAGGTATGTTCCTTTTTAGAAAGAAATGATATCTGCGAGAATTTTCAATCAGGATTTAGACCGTACCATAGTACTGAGACAGCTCTCATTAGAGTCACAAATGATTTGCTCTTATCATCCGATCGTGGTTGCATCTCTCTATTAGTGTTACTCGATCTTAGTGCTGCATTTGATACCATCGACCATAACATTATTTTAAATAGACTCGAAAATTATGTTGGCATTAGTGGAAATGCATTAGCATGGTTTAAATCATACTTATTATCAGTTTGTAGCAGTAAATGTAGAAATGTCTTATCGATCATAAGTTCAGTATGGCATACCACAAGGCTCAGTACTAGGACCGTTGCTGTTCACTCTGTACATGCTACCCTTGAGAGATATCATTTGGAAGCATGGCATTAGTTTTCACTGTTATGCTGATGATACGCAGCTCTATATTTCTTCACACCCTGATGAAACTTACCAATTCACAAAATTAACGGAATGCATAGCTGATATAAAAAACTGGATGACTAACAACAACAGAGATTCTAATTACTGGACAAAAAACTTCCTCTTGTAATAATCTAGAATACTGTCTAACTCCGTATCTTGATGGCTGCTCTGTCAAGTCTTTGTCGTCGGTTAGGAACCTGGGTGTGCTCTTTGATACCAACCTTTTATTTGAAAGTCACTTGTCTAGCATCTGTAAAACCGCATTTTTTCATCTTAAAAATATATCTAAATTGCGTCATATGCTCTCAATGAAAAATGCAGAACAATTGGTTCATGACATCAGGGCTAGATTATTGTAATGCTATTATGGGTGGTTGCCCTGCACGCTTAATAAACAAACTACAGCTGGTCCAAAATGCAGCAGCTAGAGTTAGAGTAAAGTTTGACCATATTAGCCCGGTTCTGTCAACACTGCATTGGCTCCCTATTAAACATCGTATACATTTTTAAATATTGCTGATGATCACTTACAAATCACTAAATGGTTTAGCTCCCCAGTACTTGAGCGAGCTCTTAACACATTATATAGTCCTTCACGTCTATTGCGATCTCAAAATACCGGCCAGTTGGTAATACCCAGAACTTTGGAATAATCTTCCTAACATTGTCCGGGAAGCAGACACACTCTCTGTCAGTTCAAATCTAGACTAAAAACACATCTCTTTGGCCTAGCATACACATAACACATTATAGACTTCTATAATTCAATTTAGGGTGCATAGTTTAGATCAGCTGGAACTGGGAACACGCCCCACAAATCCTGATGTACTTGTTACATCGTAAGAAGGATGGCGTCTACGCTAATATTAGTCTCTCTGTTTATCCGAGGTTTACCGCAGTCCGCCGGATCCAGGCCGTATCCAGATCTGATGCAGGACCTTCGCCTAGACACAATGACAACGCAGTCCTGAAGTGTCAACCAGTCCCTTCCCTGTTTACTGAAGTCAGCCGGATCCCGGCCGTATCCAGATCAGATGGTAGACCTGCACCTGGAGCCATCCATGACGCATCCCTGAAGTGCCAGGCTCATAAGCCCTGTGAAGGCCTCATCGACATGACAGCCATCGGCACTGATCCTCAACAAACTCGTCTCCATACCGGCGTGATGACTCCGACTTCCAACCAGATGGAACTGGATTATTTCTCTGAATGTTCTGATCCAATCTGACTTCTGACCTGTAATGCTGCCTGGATCATAATCATACACTATTCGCTCGTTGGCCAGAACTGGCCCCCCGACTGAGTCTGGGTTCTCCCAAGGTTTTTTTTCTCCAGTCTGTCACCTGATGGAGTTTTGGTTCCTTGCCACTGTTGCCTTGGCTTTTGGCTTGCTTAGTTGGGGACATTTAATATTCAACTATATCATTGATCTGCCTTACTTAAGGTGGACGATGATGCAATGATGCAATTTTCTTCTAGAAACAAACTTTGTTGTATTATTTTCATGTTATCACTGTGAAGCTGCTTTGATACAATCTGTATTGTAAAAAGCGCTATATAAATAAAGGTGACTTGACTTGACTGGAGTAATGATGCTTAAAATTTTAGCTTTGCATCACAGAAAAAAATTATATTTTAAAGTAGGCTATATTCAAATAGAAAAACATTATTTTAAATTGTAATATTTCACAATATTAAGTTTTTTACTGTATTTTTGATCAAATAAATGCAGGATTGATGAGCATAAGAGACTTCTTTCAAAAACATTTAAAATAGTAATGTTTCCAAACTTTTGACCATGTGTGTGTGTGTGTGTGTGGCCGGGTAAACCCTACATTATGGGTAAATTTTTTGGTCCCGATGAGGAAAACAGCTTACTGTAGGCTACTACTGCGTGTGTCGTGTGTGTGTGTGTTTTACATCTGATTTCACTTAATATGTAGGCTACTTACATATAACAATTAGATTGAAGTTTTAAACATTTAAAATAGTAATTTTTCCAAACTTTTGACCGTGTGTGTGGCCGGGTAAACCCTACATTAAGGGTAATTTTTTTGGCCCCGATGAGGAAAACAACTTACTGTAGGCTACTACTGTGTGTGTGTGTGTGTGTGTGCGTGCGTGTGTTTTACATCTGTTTTCACTTACTATGTAGGCTACTTACATATAAGGCAAGGCAAGTTTATTTATATGGCACATTTCATACACAATGGTAATTCAAAGTGCTTTACATAGAAGAAATTAAAGTAATCAAAACAAATAAGAATAATTAAAACAGTTTAGAATAAAAAAATAAAATACAGTACAGTGAAAACAGTCGGACGAACAGTGGCACAGTGCTCATTCAGTAAATGCATAGCTAAACAGATGTGTTTTGAGTCTGGATGAATGTTACTAATGTAGGAGCACATCTGATGGTAGCTGGAAGCTGTTTCCAGCAGCGGCTGGCATAATAGCTAAAAGCAGACTCTCCATGCTTAGAGTGAACCCTTGGTATTTCTAGCTGATGTGATCCTGATCTGGGTGATGATCTGTTAGGTTTATATTCAGTGAGCATATCTGCAATATATTGATATGCTTATATAACAATTAGATTGAAGTTTTACATTTAACCTTAAATTAAATGGATGAAAACTCGATTTTTTCGGCCTAATGAAACTAGACTATTGTGGTAGATGACATAATGTGATTCATGCTTTAAATGAAAGAAAGCGAATAGATTTAGTATATAATAATTTATAAATAATATTTTAATTATAATTGTGCTGAAAATGAATTGAAATAATCAAGCTTGATCGACTTTTATTTTAAAATATTCGACTCTTATTTTAGCAAAAGCTCGTTCCGTCATACTTCACACACTAGGGTCTATGTATCGGAAGTTTTACACACTCTTCTCAATCTATGCACAGATTGGTCAGCTTTCTGCAACCAGAGTCATTGAAACACTAAATAACACTAAATAAATCATCATGACTAAATACGAGGAGGTTGGTGTTCATGGGTACGAAGAATTTTCTAAAGCTGTGTCTGAAAGAAAAGGAAAAGAGATATTCGCTTATTTCTCTGGAGATAAAGATGGCCAGGGCAAGAGCTGGTGTCCGGACTGTGTGAAAGGTGCATTAACAATTTGCAGTAGTTGTGCTGTTTTTTAAATTCACATCTAAAACGGTCTTTTCTCCCCTCTGCAGCAGAACCAGTGGTCAGAGGAGAGCTGTCTCATCTGCCCGAGGGATCTGTCTTCATTTACTGCCAAGTAGGAGACAGACCATAGTAAGTATACATTTCGCCAATTAGATTGGTTATTTAAACAGGAATTATTCATGTATGTAGCTGCATATTGCATTTAGTCAGAAATTGCATTATTTTGCCCATGTATAATTGCTGTCATACCTCTGTGTTTATTGGACTATGCACTTTGACAGCAGTGCACAATGCACAGACAGAATCCAATAAAAGATAGTGCTTCTATTTGCTTTTGGCCTACATCTACTACATTCACTGTTGTTCTTGCTAGCTGGAAGGACCCAACCAATGACTTTAAGAAGACCCTAAAGCTGACTGGAGTACCCACACTACTGCGATACGGGACGGTAAATATCAGTAAATGTTTTTTGACCAGTGTATTTGACTGTTTTAATATGTATGCTTCTTGCCAATGTACTATACATAGAAATCCATAGTGAAATCTAGATATAAATAATTGATAAATGTATGCATATATAATGTGTTTTGTCTTTTTTTTTAAGCCCCAGAAGCTGGTTGAAGATGAGTGTTTTAAAGTTGACCTCGTTCGAATGATGTTCACGGAGGATTAATGTCCTGTTGCATATACTGCTGGATTGCATCCACCTTTTTAAATATGATTTACACGTTTTTTTCATTGTTAATTTTGTCATTTGTAATCTGTGCTCCTGCTCTGGAATGTTAAGGCAAACAAATTGTGGCCCTGGTATTATGTTGTGAGTTTGTGCTGTGGTGATTGTACATGTTTTGAAAGCTGTAAGGGGTATACAGTCAAAGACCCAGAACCAGATATGAAGAATGAAGACCCGGAGTCAGAATTATAAAAAATTAAAGAAAAGTTTTACTGAAGATAGTTTGCATTTTCATCAGCAGAAGTCAGCTTCAAGACTCACACAGGAGTTCGTAGGCCGCCCCGCTTACAGTTACAAAGATCACAGCAGTTATACCATTTCCAAGGTCTAAGCTACGTCATTGCTTACAGGTTGAATGATTCTCATTGGCTAAGAAACATGAAAGCCTAAACAATTTAACACATGTGAGGAGATAGGGGTGCCTATCGCCATTAGTAAAGATAGTTGTCGTCCACTCATTGGATTTAGGTCTGTGGTGGCCTCGCAGGTTAGAGAAGGGCGCCGGGGTGTCTGGTCCGAACGTCCAGAACCTACATAGAATGTCATACGCACACACACACAAATAACAGACACTAGCAAATAACAGCTCCCATCAAGGCTGAAGAGAGTCTGAGCTCCTTATTATCAGTTAAGTATACCAAAACATAATGCTAAAACATTCACTCGTTTGGGAGAAAAACAGATAACTGACATTTACTCCCAAGGAAGGAAATATACTGGAAAGAATACATTTTAATACAACAATTCAAGTTTGATAGTAACGCTCAATATAGCTTGACCATATGTCCAGCGAAGAATCATATGTGCCCACGCTGCCTTTAGGACCCTCTAACCTTTCTACTGATCCCAGAGAAAGAGACAAACGGCCTTGTGGGTTACGTGGCCTTCGTGTCCTGCGTGTACTAAGTGCAATCTCAAAGTAAGATTGGAATGCACCTAAAAGAAACTGGTTACTTGCATCCATGCATTTAAGAAAATATAATTTCACAAGCACAAGAATATAAAAATTATTATGTGATAATGAATATATTTGATTATTGATTTTTATAAAGGAAGTATATAACCATTCAAAATGATATATGATTATATATGTATTTGAAGAGGCAAGGGATTTTGACCAACCCTTCAGTCCCCCGTTTTAGACCAATGTGGGGTCCAATACCGCCACGTCTGGTCTAACCAGTGAGGTCACTACGGAAGGGAGGAGTGGTGACGCATGCTCCCCTGACGGGTCACACTTGTCTCTTCACCTCGTCATGGACATGCTGGATACTAAAAATTCCAGTCCCCATTAAGAGGCTCTCCCACCTTCCACTCACAACAGGACATCAATGTCATTCTTCCTCAGTTTATCAGTCAGGTTAAAATTTTTATAAAACACATAACTGATTACGAAACAAGTACATATTTTTTCTTTGGAAGCCAGGCTAAATAAGCAAGCACTATTGCTGTATTCCTACTAGCATGGGCTAGATCCACAGTCACTACTCAGATCCTAAATAAAGACATTGTCTATAATCATGAATACCAGAATATATGCACTAGTTTTTTTATTTTTTTTATAAAATTATGATTTCCAAATCCTTTTATTATAAACAAAATTGGATGGTTAATCCATTATTTTCACTACCCCTTTTATAGACCCTTTAGGTTCAAAACACAATGGTTGTCTAACTAAAAATAAACAACAAACAATAAAATATTAATAATTAAGACCCATAATAATCGATGTAAGCACTTTAAGTCTTTACTGAAATCATCCTTCAGTTTACGGTCACATAGCATGTACCATTTTAATTGTATAACATCTTATACCCTTTTTTGTTTGTTTCAAAAATAGAAATAAAATAAAACAAATTCACATCATCATTTCAGTCATTATTTTACCACTAAAATATAGGATCGTTCCCCATTTTGCTTAATAAAGCTTTTGTTCATTCCTTATCTTTATATCACTTGAATCCCTGTCAATCATACAATGTCTTATTGTTTTTATTTTGAAACTCACTTTTTCATACCATTTAAACTTAATTTGACTTCCATAAATCCTATCAGAAATTGTATTTTCGTAACATACATTTTTTTCTACTATATTTCTTCCATCTTGCCCTACATGCCAGTTCCTTCTGCATCCGAGTCTCTCACCACTGTCAGCCTAGTGACACTTAAAGTTCCCTCGTTAGGGGAATCATGGTATTTTATTAATTCTTCAATACTCTTGTTTTCTTATCATTAGCTTCAACTTTATTTTTCATTATAACTACTTCTCACAGTATTTGTCTCAGTTCCACTTATCTTTACAGTTTTACAGAAACCAAAATATTATGTTACTCAGATCCCAGCCAGCCATATAGCTGCTTTCTCTTTTTACCTTTATTAAATTGTAGTTTTCTTAGACATCTAATGTCATACATACATTTAAGGGATTGAGAAATAAAACCTTTTCTTTTTAGAAGTTATATTCATTCGCCCTCCGGCCTTTCAATAAAAATGAGGGAGCTCACTCTGGATAATTTGGATAGTGACTTAGCCAATGTGCCACTTTGTCTCTCTGCCGTCAAGTCTATATATATATATATTTTTTCCCTACGTTTATCCTTATGATCCCACCTAGTTGTCTATTTAAATTTAGACCCTCAGTTGAATTTAGACAAGAGTTTTACCCCATAATGGACGGCAATCTTCTTTACAATTCCAATTTATATAAAATACTAATCCAGAGAGTAATTCAGTTCAATATCATAAATGACAAAAGCATTCATAATTACCAATAGCAGACAGAGCTGGAAAACCACTCCAATTAAAGCTCGTCCCATGTTCTGCATTGTCTTTTCATCAGATTGTCTTAGAATTATCAACTTTTTTAAAGTTGGTCATTTCACTTAACCCATCTGTAATGATAAAACACTAATTCCAGAGGTTAATGACACAATATCCTCAAAATCAGGAAATAATAGTACCCCAAACTAATACATACAAGACATAAAGTGCTGTCACCATCATACGCACTCATACTAGACACACATATGTTAACTGTTCATTTTCAATATTAATTTTTCTTTATATTATTGCTAAAAGATTTAAATTTTAAATAAGATTTTAAACTTCCCATTTTCCGGTAGCTTCTACCTAATTTTACATGGTCTCCCAACCAGTTTCAAAGCATGTCTTGTTCATTATTCATTAGAATTTAACAAGGTCGGCTGGGTTGTTTTGTTTCATTATCATTATTTTGCTTCAGCTTGCTCTAGCAGGCCAATAATGGAAAGACAGACACAGTTACCATCCCTTCCTCTGCTCAAGCAGTCTCTCTCACTATAAATAAATAATCTTTTTCAACAGCCTTCTAAGGCTGTAACTTAGACATAATGTAATATTAAATTAATTACAATAACCTTTGACCATTCACCTTGTTATCCAGACTTTTCTCAAATCTACAAAAGCTGTCTTCATCTTTAGCCACCACCATGTCTAACGACCTTCAGGAGTTAAAACTATGTCATAGACCTATTAGTTCAAAATCATCACTATGATTTTCCTTGCCCATAAGGCAAACCAGTACATAAAAAGTTTTGCTACTGTCTCCACAACAACTAATGGGAATCACTTCATGGCCTCAGCCGGCTCTTGAAAGCCCATTTCTGTTAGCCCTTTATCTATAATCTCCATCAGGGTGTTTTCCCCTGGCATATTTGCAGACGCTTGTCACAATAAAAAAAAACAAGCCATACAATGAATGCGGTTTCTGGTGATTGGTATTAGAGGAACATCACGTTTCTGGGTCAGACTGTCTGTAACTCCTCACAGCTCATCCGCCCTAACGATAAAGGATGCTGCTGGCCTCACAGTCATCCGCTCCACTCTCATACCTTTCTCACATAAACACCTCCATCTTGAGATGCCCAGTGACTTTACGTGATCCACTCTGGCTTGGGTTGCCCCCTGTCTGGCCAATAGAAGGTCTTACCCGTCATTGAGTAGCCACTCGTGCCCACTGGTGACCGCTCTTTCCCATCACAGGCTGTTTGCTTCAACAGAACTCAGCTGTTTTCTAGAGCTTAGGAAAGGCACGTTCAAGAGTCACCAGAGCCATTCGGATTGCCTAATAGTGTTCACATAGGGAGACAGGTCAGAACAACAGTATTTAATCACTTAAATCCATTAACTATCTTAAAAGCAGCAACCTAGCTACTTGGATTATACTCAGTGAATTTAGATCACAACCGTACATTCAGTGTACATTTCCGTCGGCCCCTCCCCCGTTTCATGGTGGGGACTAAGATCAGACAAAGAAGTTACTGGTCCTAAATTAACCTAATCAAAATGTCATCTCTATCTGTATTATTATTTTAAATACTTCTTTAAAGTCATTCAGTTTTACTTTTAAAACAAATTGCTCTCTAAATGGTTTCTTTTACCATCTCTGTGTCTATGATTCTTCAACTGACACACTGTGCTTTACACATTATCACAGATACCAGCTTTTAGCTGACTCATTGAATGAGAGAGACTCTGAGACTCTATTGGATGGTACACTGCTCTCTCATATACTTCTAACATCAAACATTTATCTATCATCTTTTAACTCTATCCCAGCTTAAGGCATCTTTGCCAGATATTACATACGGTTTCAAATAAACATATTATTTATATTTGTCTTTTGCCCACACATCAGGAAATTTAGGCATTACAAATTTCCACTCAGATTGAGTCTGTTGCACTGGCAGTTTCAGCCACAGCACACATCAGATTCAGATAAGCAAACTGTTTCATTACAGCCAATAACAAACTTATCTTTTGAAAACTAAACATCAGCTTCTAGTTCTTTCATGGTCAACTTTTCAAGCTGTTTGTTTAATCAGCATTTAGCAACTGTTAATTCAGTACGGCTTCTGCTTATTTGTTTTACATAAAAATAATTATTCTAGTTCTCAATAACGTTTCACATTTCTCAATCTCAATTTTAATTGTCAAGTTCTCAACCATAGTTTAATATTTGACTTAAGATTTCTCTTGGAGTTTATCAATCTCCAATTAGGATTCACACACTAAGTTTGACGAGGCAAGCACTCTCTGCTTGTGATACTTTTGCAGTTATTGTAAATCATCTGTGAGAT